GGTACCACTTCCTGATTTTGAGCAAGTCTGCTATTTCCCTGATCCTCAGGTTCTTTACCTATAAAAATAACCATCTTAAATGATCTCAGTAATAAGAATTTCAGTTATTCAAAGTAACTAATATTAACCATAATGTAAAAATAATGACACTAATCTTCCAGAGTTCTTGGAAAAAATGAAATCACATATTTGAGAAAGAATTATATGAGGTAGAAGCTATGCCCACCATGTGCAGGACCCTGTGTTTGATCGCTAGGATCACAAACTATTAGTTTTTAAAGCATTCTTATAAAAGGATGAAAACTGATATGTGTAAAAAAAATTCCATAATAATTGCCAAGTATTTTCACTGCAAAACAATTTTTATATGTAACCACATCATAACCTGCAAGAATGGGATGAAAAAGTGTGAAGTGTTTTTATTCAGTTGCCGGAATTTTAAAATTTAAAAACTGTTTTAAGTAAAAAGGTATTTGAAAAGAAAAAATATGCCATGATGGTTATGACTTTGCTCAAGGTAATAGAATTATAAATGAGTATTTTTTCCTGTAATCTTTTTATTCTCTATACTTTTCTGAAATTTTCTCTATCATCATATTTAACATTTATCACTTTAGAAGTGTGGCATTGGAAGTGCTTTTAAGATGATGTTATTTGTAATCTTCCAAATAAGACTTCTAAATACATATTAATAAAACTAACATGTATTATTATTACTAATTAAGATATATGTTAATATGTACATTATACACCAGGAGAAAGGAGGGTGAAAGCCCAGTGATTCATTACCCTTGGACACACTCTAACACAGTTTCACTCCTAAAAGAAGAAGCCTCCTGGGTTCTGAATACACACGGAAAACAACAGCATTACCAAAGAAGTTAGCAAAATCAGACTCTCACTGGCCTGGAGGTCACAGTGAAGAGATGGGAAAGACGGAATTAGAATGAAATAGCTAAGGAGCGCAGAGCCCAGTACTGTTCTAGCAGGAAAGAGCGATGAGAAAGCAGGGCCAGGACAGAACAGTGAGCTCTTCTATGGGTTAAACATGGAATCCAGAACAGAGGCCCCACTACAGTCATACATACCAGCCTGAACGCACCCGATCTTGTCAGAACAGAGGCCCCTGAGTGGCTCAGTAAAGGGAAGCACTATCACTCTCACTCTCACTGTCACTGTCACTACCACTACCACTACAAAAGCACTATCCCTGATGCCATCCAAGCAGCTTCTGACCCATTCTGGTCACATGCCACCACGTGGGCTGGATCAGGACAGCATCATTGTTGTCAGGTGACCTCTATGTGCTTTCTTGATAATGGATTTACCTACTTAAGATGTTTGTACGTCTCGGGAGAGGAAGGTTTCCAACTGAGGTGCTTGGCTTTAAAATAAGAAATGGCAATTCCAGGGGCATTTGCAAAAGGACTGATATCTGTATGGGCAAGAGGATCTTTAACATATTTTGCCCATCACAATAGCATCTTAACAAGCCAAAAATACACTAGAAATATAGTTTTCTTTAACTGAGATGAACTATGACTCATGCTGTCTCTATTGAATTCGTTCAAAGATAGTCTCTGGAAATCAGAATAAATCTGTATTGTATTTTTAAATTTAAAAAATGAAAGAACACTGGATTCTAGGCATTTTTTACACAAAAATCAATACGTTTACTATTCTTTTTCCACACAGAAATTTTGCCAAATTTTCAACTTTCACACAAATAGAACACTCTAAAAAAAAAGAAAGAAAACATTTTAGAAGTATCATTTCTTCAGATTAGAAATTATCAGCTAACTTCATAGAACCAACTATGTTTAATATGAATAAATTGTATATATAGCTATGCTTCTATTTCTTTGTGATTATAATAATCTAACAGTCAAGTTTTTTAGAAAATAAAATTACTTGGATAGTTTAGCTTTCCATTTTTAGGCTTGTCTATTGAAAATTAGCTGATTCCCCTAAGAAATCAACATGTCAGGAATAATTCACTCTATTAGGACTTCTTTTAATATTCAGTCAATGGTTGCTGCATAGTTCCTTTAGGAATTATCCAGGAATAATCTATGGCTTTGACTTTTCTAAAAAGTTTTTTTCTGTTATACCAAAGTTAGGAAATACCACTCTGTAATATCTTCCCAAAACTTCACTTTGGCTTAGTCACTAACAATAAAAATGGAGCACATACAAGATGAAATGGGCAGGTGGGCTATAGATGGTATGCACTTTGCTTCAAATCAAAACATTTATTTAAGAATAAAAAGGATAACAGTAGCCTATAAGGTAGTAGTTGAGAGATATATCTTAAGTCTGTGACCTTTGTTTTAGGTGAGATTATCTCCAGCCAAAATGTCTACCAAGAACTCTACCGACCTAGTTGAATACGTTGACAAGTAAGTTCAGAAATTACTAGTTTTAACTATTTACTGCACTCAAGGATCGGGTCAGAAATTAAGCTACCTGAATTAGATCTCTGCATTTGTGTTAACTAGTTCTCTGCTTTCAGAAGACCCTAAACCATTTCAGAAAAATGAAAGTCTTCAATTTCTTTGACTAGCAAATAAATAGACTTTACCACCTTTTTCCTTAAATGACTACCATATGTATGTGTAGATTCATGTATAAAATAATATAACACAGGCAATAAGTGGCATATGATACCAAGATTACTCAAATAAACCTTACCATGACTTTCAAAATGAGCCAAACAAATCTGTTAACATTTCATGACAAAACTAGAAAAAAAAATTATATATATATATAATATATATTTTATATACATGTATATATTATATATATATATGTATCAAGCCAATCACTAGAAAATTACATCTCTACCATGTCCAGTTATATATCAAGCTCTTCCAAGAAGGAAGTCTAGTAAAGCTGATCATTCTGATTTGCATATTAGTCATTGACAAGCAGACATCCACTGATTTCATGGTAATGCACTCAATGCCTGTTTAAGCTCTCTTGAGCAGAAAAAGGTAACAAAGCCTGGCTTCTTAGAGGTTTTTGGGGGTTTGCTGTATTCTTCTGCCAGAGGAAGGAGCATCACTGGACATGGAAAGCCTCAGATCTATTCTTTAATCTCTCCAATCAGCTACTAAACTTTGAGGGAGGAAAAAAAAAAAAAAAAAAACTCCTCTCTAGGCAATCTCTTCCTGCTTTATACAATATGGTGGGAGTTGCAGGTGATCAGTGATGAGTACTTGTTACTTCTCAACTCTCACTGAAATTTCTCATGCTCATTCTTCTGTATAATTAAGTAGGTGGTTAAAATTTAGGAACATTATTCTCTCCTGGGATTTAATTTTGAATGAAAAAAATTCTTATAAATCTCTTTGTATTCTTCTTGAATTGCCTAGAATCAAAGATTTTCTAATGTTCCTTCCACCTCTAATGTTCCAAACCATTTACTCACTTAAGAAATCTGTGTGTGCATTACATGTCCCTACTAAACACCAGGTACTGTGCTAGACACTTGGAGAATTTCCAACAAGCAAATAAATAAGAAGATCCTTGCCTCAGATCTTAGACTCTAGCAATAGGAAGACACACACATTGCTGGTAGGCTGGTCAGAATGCGTCTCTTCCAGGAGTGGGCATTTGCATCAAGAGAAGATGGGAGGGACCTGGGCACCTGGGCATCTTGGAGAAGAGCAGTTTCTAAGGCAAGAATGGAAGTGGGACAAAACGGTTGAGAAAAAAAAGATGCAAACGAAGTTGGACTACGATAGCACCTGGATCTGTTGTGAAAGTCTGTGGGTGGAAGAAGCACTGAATTTCTCCAGTCCACAGGGAGACTTCAAAACTTCTAAATGTTCTAAAAACAGAAAAGGAGGCTAGGAAACGAAAGCGTTTAGTACTGAGCAGTCGGCCAGGGCGGACAGTAGCCATTCTCAGCACTTTTCCCAGGAGTACAGTTTTGGAAGATGAGGGTCTGGCTGACAGCCAAAGCATCGTATTGAAGATGTGGATGCATAAAACTTTTAGTGAGTCAGATGCACAAAACAATAAACGATTAATAATTTCTCCTTGTCGGTAGAATGCGACACTCAGGGTCTCAAGGTATTCTGTTTCAACGTCTTTCTTAGAACCACAGCAGACGTTTTGTTATGTCGTGATGTATTACCTTGGGCGCTGCCTGAAGACCAATGTTTCACACTATGATACGAAAAAGTAAGGCAGCGCACTGTGGGAAGAAGGCTTCCCGTGGAAAGGGCTGGGCTTGCTGCGCTGCCTGGCGCTGCCGGAAACCACAGTGCAGTCTGATTGTTAGGCGCGGGCACAGCCACTGCCCTGGGTGCCACCCACAGCGCCCCAACCCTGCAAGGCACGGGCTGCCCAGCCCAGCTTCGTGCTTCCTGCCCTGGAGGCCCTCACGGCTCGTCAGATGGAAGAGCTTCCGTCGCAGTCCAGTAGAGGGAGCGCTTCCAACCTCAGGGCCTCGAGAGGACGGATGGGAGTGGGAAAAGGTGACTCGGGAAAGAGTGGGATGATGGTAGGGGCAAACTACCTACGGAGGAGCAGAGGAGTAAGCATGCCTTACTGCCCTTAGACAAGTGCACCTGTACCAGGAAAAGCTGCTAAGAAACCTAAACAAAGGGGCTGAGGGGTAGGAGAGAGAGGAGGGTGTGAAAGTGATTGCGGCGGCTGCTGAGCCTGTCAGCCTCAGGTTCCTCCCCTCGACAGAAAATTCACTTATGCTGTGGGGAAGTTACAAGAATGAAAAGACATGCTTTTGAAAGCAGTACAGTAGTTTAAACACTATCTAGACATTAGATACTGTTTCTTTGCTTTTCTGAAAAAATAAAATTTCGTAACAGGGGCTGGGAGATGGCTCAGTAGAGTAAGCCCTTCCCTGGCAAGCGCAAGGGCCTGAGTCCAATCTTTGGTTCTGCCAAAAAATAAAAATAAAATTTCATAACAAAATAATCTCAAAAGCAGTCACCGGGAGTAAAAATAGACCAAAAAAAAAAAAAAAATCTCTCTTGTAAAGAAGAATTAAACAGATAATAGCCCAAAACTTTCTTTTCAATGAACTAAGAGAAACTAGTAACATAACTGAAACCGATGAGTACATAGACCAAAATATTTTTGAAGCACCGCAGCAGGTAGTTCAGGGAATGCGCTGAGCTTCTCCCTGCCACCTACTGAGCTATCTTCTAAGGATGCACCTTGAGAATCTAAAGTTACGGCGCAGTGAGTCAGACACACAAGCTTACGTGTCACATAGTTTCTCTTGCGTGAGAAACTCGCAATGTGCATATGCCTATGGTTGGTGTCTAGGTGGCCCCCCGCAAAGTCTCATGTAAGCCATGGGACTGACCCAGCTGGAGCGCCGCAGTGGCTTGAGGGGCGGGGCCAGAGGACCAGGGCGGGGCTCGTGGGCGGGGCCAGAGAGGCTCCGACGGTTAAAGTGGCAGCATGCACTCTGCCCACACCAGCCCCCCCACCTCCCCACCCCCCCACCCTCCAACCCTCCCACCGCCCTGCCTTTGGGCTTTCTTGGAGGTACGGAACGAATGGGTTATCCTGGACGAGGTGGTACTCCAGCCTCTGCTCTAGGTCTTGTTACATAGTTCAGGCTATTTAAAACTATGAAACCTCCAGTAACTGTGAGTAACCTTTCCTTCCCTCATTTTGAGTGTCAAGTATTTGTCTCAGCAATGAAAGAAGAGTAACTAATACAGAATTCACACAAATAAAGATCAAAATAGAAGAAGTAAGATATTATTATTAAAAATCCCTTACATTTCTCTTGATTCAAAGAACAGCCCATCTGTGCTAGCTTCCCATGTTGCCGTAACACAGTGCCACAAGCTACAAGGCTCAGAACCACAGAAATTCATTGCCTCACAGTTCTGGAGACTTCAGCAGGAGTTGGCTCCTCCTGAGACTGTATCTGTCCTGTGGCCTTTCTCAACCACTAGTTTCCCTGCTCCCACCTGTTCCTGCATCTTTCCATTTTCCTGGTGCCTCTAAACATCAGTCCCAATGGATAAAAGGATTGCCATGCTTTGCTGAGAACTCACCTAAACTATTCACATCTGCAATGACCCTGTTTCAAAAAAGATCCCATTATGAAATATTGGATCTTAAAACTTCCACATATTTTGGGGCTACAATTCAGTCCTTAGTGCCATTTACAAATTACTAACCCTGTTGCTCTATTTTGGGTTCCTCGTAGAAGAGAAACCATGCAGTACTTAAATTTATTTCACTTAGCATCATGGTCTCATTGCGCATGCTTTTTTCTGCAAATGACTCCAGTTTATCCTTCTTTATGGCAGGATAGTACTCCATGAATGCAATCATTATGCACTGCAAACATGTACTAATATAAAAATAAGAACTTAAGAGAAAAACGACTCTTGACTGGTCCAGCCCCAGGCAGTCCCAGCCCCTTTGAAGCCATCACTCCAGCCTCAGGCCAAAGCCCAGAACTGAGCTGCAGTGCTGATAGAGGCCGATTCTATACTGAGCTCTGACCTCCACTGAGGTCTGTCCACCATCAGACCCCTGACAGAGCAGGCCTGGGCCCTGGCTTTGTATGTCCTGTCTGGGTCTGAGCATCTCAGATGGAGCCCCCCTTCCCTTCCTCAGTCAAGGGTAAAGGTGGCCTGGCTTCGTGGACCAGGGCTCTGGGCTCCCTTCCTTCCTTGCAAGAACGCTGGGCCGAAGCACTGCAGAAGTGTGATGTAGACAAAAAACTTAAAAGAAGAAAAAGACATTAAAAATTAAAAACGACTGATAACTCCAAGAATATGGCTGTAAAATATTTCACATTGCAAAACATTGCAAATACACGACTTCAATTGCTTGCCCTCAGCCACGTGCCTGGGGCCGGAGCCCTTCTCTCCACAGGTCAGAGAAGTCTTCTGGGGAAGCTAACCAAGGTTAAAGGCAGTGAGGAGACTCAAACCCAGGTCATCTGACGATAGGTACAGTGTTCTTTACACTGGAGACATTAAACACACACGCCTTCCTTAGCTCCCAGAACAAGCAAGGGAGTATGGGAGCGCTACCCAGTGCTACCACAAAATCTAGGAGTTTCAAAAGGCACCAGAGTGAGTGCGCACCAGGCAGCAATCGCAGGGGGCTGTGCCTGCTGCCCTCCCCCACTCTGATGCCTACATGAGAACTCACGCCCTTCCCAACAGGTGCTTCTGCACTGCTGCAGTTTTACTGAACCCTAACTGCAGGAGAAGTCTGCCTGATGGGGTGCAGAACTCGCCATACGGAGCAGCCACACAAGCGTCCCTCCTCTGGTCTCCTCTTGGCTGGGCCCCCAGTCCTGTCCAGGCACACCCTGCGCAGAGGCCACACTGGCCCAACCCCACTGCCCTCGGCCCATTTCTTGGACAGCGCTCCTGCACTTCAATTTCTT